CCTTAAATTTTTGTGCCAGGAAGCTTCTGGGGAAAATCCTATTCCTGCAGTGGGGATCTAGACCAGAAAAAGGAGGAAGAGCTTCTGACATAGAAGCAGTAATGGTTGGTTTGCCAGTTTAGCATGAAGTCTGGATTTTCTGCTGGTGTAGATGGAGGCCAGGCTGCTGTTCCAGGCAGGATCTTAGGGATGGGGTTCAGTAGATGCTCCCCAGTTGTTTTTTCTTCACAGGAAAGGGTAGATGTTGTCCAGTGCTTCCAGTTTGCTCTTCAGGAGGTGCATGGTGTCTGTAAAATGTTCTGTGAGCTTTGCTGGGGCTCATGGTGGTGCCAGATCCTGCAGCATCAGTTCCGCAGGGGTTTTACTCAATCTCCACCTAACTCTCTATTTTAAGGGGGCAGCTCTGAACGTTTCCAGCATCACTCTCCCAAAGGAGTTTCTGTTCCCAAGGCAGGAGGAAGTGCACACTTGGGTCCTGTTTTTTTTTGACTGTGCTCACAGTGTGTTCTGGAGACTTTGTGGTTCAGAAACTCCAAACCTCAGTGATGTATTCCTGGTGTTTCCCTTTGAAAGAGGAGCAAGTGGTTTGGGAGCATGCAGATCTGGGTTAGAAGGACTCATTTAAGCATGTCTGTGTCAAGTGACCAAAAATGACAGAGTAAGGGTCACCAGGCCAGCTTTCCTGATGGGTCAGGGGCCATGCCTGATACCTGCACTAATGAATGAGCTGCACCCTGCGTGGTGTCCTCAGCACTGCTCTGGGCCTGGCCACACAAATTGAAACTACAGAAGTACCTGTGTGGCTTTTCATTAGAGGTTTGCCATTCTTGATGAAGAACACTTCAGGCACCCTAAAATTACTGCTTTGTCTCTCAGTTATTGGGCAATGAATTCTTGCTGCTTCAAACCAGAAAAAACCAAGGTGCAGCTCTGAGCTGTCCCTACCAGTGGAAAATGCAGTGCAGGAAAGTGTCACTGCTGTTACTGCTGTTATCACATTTAGCTGCTGGCTGGATTTGAAGAAAGGAATATATTTATTACCCACATAGAACTTTCCCTTGGAACAGCACCCAGGGGTGCAGGCAGGTGAGTGGGCCAGAAGCAGGAGAGCTTTTGCTGGCTGCTTGCCTTACAGAAAACAAGATTCTGCCCTCTGACATTCCAGCTGAGCACAGAGCAGTGTTTGCTTCCTGTAATGTCACTGAGAGGTGGGGTTGAGCAGGAAAATGGTGCTCTGAGTGACTTCTCCATAGACTGCTCCTTGCCAGCCTAGATTATGCTTTAAGATTTTATTTTTACCATTATTTTGTCAAGCCTGCAGGAAATCCACCATTTCCATTATTTCCACAAGCTTCACTTGGCAGTTACTATGTGAAGTCTGTGAATCCATAGGATCAGATCAAAGCTGTTCCTTTTGACCATCTGAACTACAAACACGCCAACTGTGAGGCATTATTTTTAAATTGCCTGTAAAAATTTAAAAGGATTTCCAAATATTTTTAATAATTCCCTAAAACAGTCTAAGGACATCTGTTAAAGTACTGAATTTCCCAGAAGACAGCAGTAGTTGGGATTGCTTCAGCTGCAAATTAAGGTTGTCAGTCAAAGGGCTTTTTCTGTTTCAGTCTTTGATCTGGGAGTTTTTAGCATCTCTTCCAAAGTGAGCCAAAGAAAGACAGCTAGTGAGCTGTTCTGGCTTGTTTTACCATGTGTTTAACCTAGCAAACAGTCAGTTGATACCTTTTGTGAAGTTTTCTGTATTTTACTGGATACCTCTGCTTGGTGAAGAATCAAGCTTTGCAGTTCTGACATATTTTTGCACTTTTCATATTCCTTCTTCTGCAGCATGTGTCCCGTGTTTTAATATATTGAGTAGCTGTGGCAAATGCTGCTGTGTGTCTGCAAACATTTGAATTATTTTAAGGCACTGGCTCTGCTAATGAGCTGGAGTAAGAGGCAGAATGATGCATTTGCTCTCCAAGATTTCCTGCAGAGATGAATAGCAGGTTCATGGTGAGCTGAAAGGACATGACCAGCCCAAAGAGTCATTAAAAGATGTTCTTGTTTATTGCATGCTGATATTCCAGCTCCAGCTCCATCAAGGGCTATGACAGTTTATGAAAATATTGCTTCTCTACATAACTGTTTTATTGTGGTGCTGATGCCATACTGATCTAGATTTCCACCTGCTCATATGCATCAGAATACTTCATTTTGTGTCATGGTAACATGAAAGTGTAAGAGAAGGGGAAGGCTTTGTCTTTTCAGTTGTAAATCCTAACTAGCTTTTAAAGCTTTCATTATTTTGTTCTGTGTGATTGAAAGAAGCTGGCATCATCACCAAGCTTGCAACAGAGGAAATTTTTTTTTTAATGTTCAGTGTTTAAAAGATGTCAATGTTATTTCCTTTGTAAACAGAAGATGATGGATAGAAAATCTGCTGAATTTTCAGCAAAAGGGAGTAATTTCTTCAGTTCTTTTTCATTCCTTAATGGAAAAAGTATTATGGAAATGAGAGCAGGCATTGCATTAAGTGCTTCCAATGTTCTTTCCCTGCAGACCAATAAAAACATAACTCCTCCATTAGGGAAATTTAGTTTTTTGAAGGCTGTGTGAATTTGAGTTCTGAATGAGTGAATGAGATGACTGTGCTCAAGTAAACATTTCCATGTCTGATTATGTATTTCAAGCCTTTTCTAGATGGATACCAGCTCTTTCCTTGTCTTGTAGGTCTTCTTCAGAGCAACTCTTTCTGTGGCTTTTTACATTGACTTACCTTGTAGTTCCTCTGTAGTGCAATCTCACATTACAAAGAGCAGTAACAGTTTTCAAAGTCATGGGAATTGAACTATTTTTCTTGCCTGACTGTGAACTAGAGTTCGTGGCTTTTTCAAAACACTCCAGCTGCTTCAAAACTCCATAAGCAAAATTCAAACAGTAAAGTAAAAAAAAAAAAAAAAGACTTTCCTATGCTTCCTATGGCGTGTTTCTAGTAGTTATAGTCTCACCCATAACTGTACATTATGCAGATTGTAGCTGTCTACCTTTAAAAATACTCTTTATGTGTAAGTGGGAAATGGATATGCAGCAGTGAACTGCTGTTCCTGGGTGTGCTCAAATCAGGTCCCTGAGCAGGGGGGATCCAAGTGAAGCTATCTTTTCTTTTTCAGTTGTTAACCATTAAATAGTAATAAATAATCAGCGCTCATTTCTAGAAGTTCTAGAAGATATCAAATAAAAGAGAAAAGGAGAATCATTACAAGTCATTAGAACTGATCCTTACTTATAAATTATTAATCATAATTCAGTTCTGTATACAATAATACTTAAGGTGTCCCACACATTGCAGAAGTATAAAAGGATGATTTGTCCTCATTTAGTGTAGGAGGGGACAGAGGCACCAAGAGCTTCTGAAATTTGTCCAAGATCTGGAAATTATTAAGTGAAATTAATTTTTCATTATTATTTTTATTTAGTTGTAAATAGTCTGGATGTAGCCAAAATGTTCTAGTTATAATTGATCAAACAAACCCCATTCTACTCTTTATTGTTGAAGGGTTGCCCATGGGAACATGCTGCAAAAACAGTGAAGGCAACAAATGTAATTACTGTGAATATTTGGTCATGTGAGGCTGGTTTTATTTCAGTTTTTTGAGGTCTGTTTTCTGAAAACACTGCTGGGAATTGTTTGTTCATCACTAGAGTGTTCCCTGAAGGCCCAGTCCACTACAGGACTCCCAGGAATAATTTCTGTGTTCCTATTATATTTTATATGCAGACAACTTAATCCTTCTGCCATGATCCAGAAAAAATGACATCTATGAAAATATTGTGTTCATTACAAATCTAGGGGCAAAGAAAACATGCCTGACCCACAGGATTCTCTGTCCCCACCCTGATTATTCATTCCTAATGGAAAAAGTTTGAAATGCTGGAAAAAACACATTGGACATAAAAATTTTCAACTTCTTGCTGATTTTAAGTTGAAAATTTTTCAACTTCGTGCTATTTTATCTCCTCTGCCCATCCTGTGTCTCAGTTAATTGATAAATCTGATCAGATGCGTGCTTTAGGTGTTATGAAGAGATGCTGGTGGTGAATCTCCACCTCTCTCATGGGATTTTTGGCTGATTTGATTTGGGATCTGCCCGTGCTGGTGCTGTGGGTGGCTGGTCGCCCCTGAGGAGCCAGCTGTGCCCAGCTGTGCCCAGCTGTGCAGGCTGGGGCTGCCTGTGGAGAACACAAGTTCCCCGGTGCCCGGGCTGTGTTTGCACACAGGAGCAGCCAGATGGTTGGAGCTGTGGGTTTGCTTTGGCTTCACTCAGAGCAGAAGTACCTGAGATGGATGTTGCCAGGTCACTGCGTGGCTCCTGTGTGCTGCCAGCTGCTCTGGCTCTTCTCTCTGAGGTGTTTTTAAAGCATTACAATGAGAAATTGGTGGAACTCTCTGTGGTGGAGTGGAAGTGGGGAAGAGTTTGTGCCTTGTGTTCTGCAGACCTGGTGGGATGGGTCTGGTCACAGGCTGGCCCACAGTGTGGTGGGGAAATGTGCCAGGTGCTTCACAAGTGCTTTGAGGTCTAAGGCACTCTCCACATGTAAATCACATTTTCTCCTCCCCAGCCCTTGGGCATGGCTCGCTCACATGGTGGGCACACACTGTCACCCATTGGAGTCATCAGAAACTGTAATTTTGCAGATTTACCTCTGAAATACACTGCTGCAGTCCACCACCCTCCTGAAACACCTTTGGGAAGCTTAGCTCAGGTCCCATATCACCTTTTAAAATTACAGGTTGGTTGGTAGAGGCAATCATCCCTAAAGCAAGGCACTGCCTGGGCCAGGCAGAGCTGTGGTGACCACTCTGGGCTTATCCTGGGCAGGAGGAGCTCCTGCAGGGTGGATGCACCCCAGGCTCGGGGTCAGTGCTGGGCACAGCTCCAGCTGCCTCACCCAGGCTGCCATGCCCATCTCACACCCTTGGTCTCGTGGTCTTGTTCCAGGGCAACCCCCTGTACTTCCAGTCCGCCAGGAACGTGACCGTGAACATCCTCAACGAGAACACAAAGGTCCTCACTCGCCTTGTAACAGGTAAGGAGGGGGAAAGGCTGCTCGGAGGGATCAAAGTGGTGTTTGGGGATGCTGTGCTGGCTTCAGCACACAGAGGGGAGCCTCGACGTCTTGTGGAGTAGAAATGAAAACTTCGCTGCATTCTGTAGAAACAAAGGCAGGGACAGGAAAGCTGTGCTGGGGAGGCACCTGGCTGGGGCTGTCTGACAACAAAACAAACCATCATTTTCATCTGAAAGCCAGCCCAGAGTTAGAAATATTTGTTGTATGACATCAGGGTCAAGAAGAACATACACCAGGCTGACATTTCTGTTCTAACAAGAACAGGTTTTTCTGAAGACATTTACAACTTGCCTGAAATCTTGGGAACACTGGAGCCCAACTGTGGCAACAGTTTGCAATTTAAAGTCCTCCTGCTGATGAAGAACTCCCTTTGCACCCAAACAAGAGTGTGTTGGGTGGGGAAATGGGTGTTTTGTAAATCCCCAGTGCACAGCAGCCTTTGAATGAATGAATATATAATTTGGGTTGAAATAGTCTAATGCATTATGTAAAGAATATGGCACTGTATATGTGATATAAAATATATATTTGATATGGGACAGAGATATATTTACTGAGATTTATGGATAGACTGTGAGAAGTATTGGTGTGTGGCAAGGGCAGTAATCCATAAACATGTTTCTAAGTTGAGACTGGGTTGCTTGGTTTGCTTATATAACATCTTGGCCTTTAGTCACAGTACTAAATAATTAAATATGCAGCTTCAGTGAGCAATTATTTAGGCAGCATGTGTGAAACTTGCCTGGAGGAAGGAAATAAATTCGACCCCAGGCTCCCTGATTCTCACATTCAGAATGAAGATCTTCAGTTTGTTGGTTCTCCATGTATTTTCAAGAGGGTGTTTGGTTCACTTAAGCACCTCTGTGTCACGAGAGTTTGGGACTCAGTGATACCTCCCAGTGTGGTGCTTTGGTTATTGAGCTTTTTATGCATTCAGCACCAGCTTTGGTTTCACAGTGGAGCAAAGATGTGGTCCCATGTTGTGCCTACTGCAAGGATGAGTGGGAAGGTGGTTAATAAGCAAGACACAAATCAGATTTTTACTGGATTTTCTCAGTGTGGCTGCACGAGTTTTTAAGTATTTCCAGGTATCTCAGCATGGCCTCGCTTGTGTGAAGTGCAAACCACATGCATGATTCTGTGTGTCCAGGGTATGTTATCTGTGGGTAGGGTAGGGATGGAGTTTTTAAGAAAATACTGGCTTTCAAGTGTTATTTCTCTTGTCTTTTGAGAAATCAAACTGGTCTTGAAGATGGCCATAATTAATGCAAAATCCAATCACATGCAGGATGATAGTCCGGGAGGGCTGTGGCTTGGTTGCAGTTGGGAGGGCTGATGAGTGGTGAATTGTCCAAAATCTGGCTAGCTCAGTAACCCAGGGCAGCCTCTTTGTAACTCTTGGCAGCCTTTGAGCCACAAACCTGCACAGAATGGCTCTCAGGCAGCTGATGTTTATCAGCCCCCACAAGAAAACGAATTGCCAGAGGCTTTCCAGCACTGTAGGGCACAGCAGCCTGCAGGAAAAGCAGCAGAATTGAAATAAGATCTTCAAAGGAAAGTTTTACTTGTCTAAAAACTTTCTGCACTTTGAGAGGATGCCATTTTTTCCTGGCCTGCACATGATTGAAGGAGTCTAAAACAAAACATTTGCTCCTGTCCTGGTGTTTGTCTTTTTTTTTTTTTTAATTGGGCTGTGCATGACACTGATAGAATTTTAATCCAGATACATTTAAGAGCTAGAAAACCAGGAATCATTTACACAGCAGCATCAGTCCAAGCAAAATGGGCCCAGGAGCTCTTGATGCCTCTTACACCTGCAGCAATACTCTCAAAGCATGGCTGGATTTGTTCATTGCTGTTTCACCTATAGGTCTGTCTTTTTGTAAAAATATCCCAGCTATCCCGAGTTCAATGGTGATTTTATGGCACACATAAGCATTAGAAAAGCATAAGTAGAAACAGTTGAGCAGTTGTTACTTGGGTAGAAAACTGCCCTTTCCTAATAAGATCTAAAAAGCCTCTCTGTTTGGTGTCTCTGATGCAATTTGTTGAGCTGTTATTACTCAGAAAATGGGTTTATTGAATGTATGAAGCTAGTGTGTGATTTTCTTACACTTTTCCCTAAAGTAAAGCTTCTTCCCCCCAGGTCCCCAAGCAGTGGAAGCACACAGCCAAAAATTTGAGGTGAAAACCCTCTCTGGAAAATTGCTGTTTTCTGCAGATGACAACGAAGTGGTGGTTGGAGCAGAGAGATTGAGAGTTCTAGGTAAGAGATTGTTCCTTAAGCCACAGTTTTAATATGCACCTCTTCAAATCTGAGTAAAGTTTTGCCTGACTTTCCTTCCCACTTGCTGAAAACTTCTTTTGGAGATAAAACTTTGTGCTGTCTTTATGGCTTTGAATCTTCTCCAAGCAGATAAAGGCCAGGAGTTTCTGTGTGAGGGCTTTCTTAACCTGCACATTTGTTCTTTTCCCTCCATTAAAAACTCCCCTGGAAGTGGTTTGTCTGGCCAAGTGAAATAGCTTTAAAACCAGTTTTGGAACCTGAATAACTTTTATTTCTTGGATCTGGGGTGGAGGACAGTGAGGGGTTGCCCCAGGGATGTGCCCATGTCTGCAGTCACTGTGCAAAGGGAACCTCAGGGTTCATGGTTTTGGTGCCAGCAATGTCACCAGCTCCTCCTTTATTCTGAAACAAACACCAGGAGGATCTGCCTCCCCAGCTCTGCTGCCTGCCAGGATTTATTCCTAATAAAGTAGGAATAAATGGTATTTCCTAATGAAAACTGGGAAACACTCTGGGTTTGGGATGTAGGAGTTCTTTCTTGTTTATTTGGATTTTTTTTTCATTAATTGGGGAAACAAAACAGTTGTGGCAATTGGAAATATTAAACTTATTTGATAGTTATATAAAATTAACTGTCTGGAAGTTGAATTTTTGTGCTCCCCCGTTCAAGCCATGCTCTTTGCTTAGTCTGGGATTTGGTCAGGAATGTTTTCACACAGGACCACAGTGGGTAGCTCAGTGTTGCTCACAGTCACCCAGCAGTGCTACTGGTCTCTGTGGAGGCACCAATATCTGTTAAATAGTGACTTGTTTTAGATGCATCTTTTCATTCCAAACTGTTCCTTACTTCTCTTGTAAAAACAGATCAATAAGGAGCTTGGAATTATATATAGATGTAGATAGTATTTTTATTATTTTTTAATTATAATTTCTAGCTATTTGATAGTATATTATATGTAATATAAATGGGACTTGGTATCCAAGGCTTAACATTTTTTGCTGCCTGATGTCCTGCTGTTCCTGGATGGTTCCTGATTGTGGGCAGGGTGGGTGGAGCTCTCTGCCCATCACTGTTGTTGCACACTGGTCTGGTTCAGTCACCAGCTGTAAAAGGTTAGGTGGGCTTCACAGAATAAATGTTGACCTTCACAAAATTAAGAGTATCTTTGTTGGCTTAGAACTTTGAAGGGGTGCAATCAGAATTCTTGTGGTGCTCCAGAGTTGGGGACATTTGTAACAATCCATGTTCTCCAGCAAAGCTCCCTTCACACTGCACCTTTCAGAGCTAATTTTTGCAGGGTAGATGAAGTCAGGAAGCAACAGTTTTTAAGTGTTTTCTTGGAGGCCTTAAAAGAGATTTACATTGTTGATTTAAAAAAAAATACAGAACCTTCTTACAAGCTGCAATTACTCCTTTTCAGATTACATACTTTAAAAAAATCGCTCTTAAATTCCTCTGTACTTTGAAGAAACCAGGAATTAATTTTGATAGCTATTTTGAGGTACTGCTTTGTTTTAGTCTCCAGACTAAACAGCATCAAAAATCTCCTGATCACTGTAGTGCACTTTGATTTTTACCAGTAAATGAGTGTTTCTCGAGGTTGGTTTGACTTTTACAGATCTATCAGAAAAGAAAAAAATAAAATCATGCTACTGGTGATGTTACATAGCAAGTATTCCAGTGACCTTGAGCTGAAATGCTTTCTGAGTTCATTCTTGGCTTTGTTTTTCTCCAGCTTTGCTTCCCCAATCTAATTTTATCTCCGAAAGTGTTTGCCGTGGCTGTTTGCCATGCTGGGGAGTGTTACACCATATGTTCGTGTTTCTTGCAGTGTTTTTGTCTGCTCTGAAGGCCAGTCCGAGTTGCAGCACACAGACAAATCCCTTTGATCATTCCTCTGGTGTTTGGGCTCTCAGGTGCTGCTGGAATGTGTCTGCTGACACCCATCTAGGCCATGTAAATAATTTGAACTTGTTCTTGTTATTACTGAACAAATACTTCTTGTAGAGGCAAGTGTGTGTCAACAACCTGGCATGAAAGTCATCCCACAGAGGTCAGAGCAGCAGTTCTTGTGGCCAGCTTTGAATATTGCCAGAGACAATAACTCTTTTCTTTGTACAGACTCCAAAGTTTTTTTCTGGAGGTTTTTGCTACAAACCGATGCTGAATCCTTGTCCTGAAAAAAGAGGTGCTCTGCTGTTTTGAAATGAACCCTGCTCTGGGTATCTAGAGGGTTTTTCAACATTAGCAAGGGATAAAAAAGGGGAAGAATACACAGAATTATAGATTAAAAACAAATGCAAGTAGGACATAGGATGTATTTGATGGTGCTTCAAAAAACCACGCAGCACGGGCAGTGCAGATTTCCATATGAAAGTGCTTTTTATTTGATTTGTATTTTGGGGAGTTATTTCTGATTTATGAGCATTAAAGGACACAGAGAGACAGAGCTGGCCACCTCTGCTTTTCATGTATGACGTAATTTCAGTGATTTTTTTTTGATATAGTAAATCCAGTCAAAGCTGTCATCATAGGAGGATGGCAGGAGCTTCTGTCTGAGGGGAAGGGCAGATCTGAGCCCTGGTAACACTGACACAACCTTGTGCAGACACAAAAAATCCCCTCTGCCCTGCTCAAGTTGGGAACTCAGCACTGCCTGGGTCCAGATAACCCTGAGGGAGCTTGTGTTTGCCTGCAAAAAACCTATAAAAACTGAGCCCTGCAGCGACTCCACTCTGCCCTTTCACTTCTGAGCTCTTCTGCCAGCGCTCGTGTGCGGATGGGATGGGATGGGATGGGATGGGATGGGATGGGATGGGATGGGATGGGATGGGATGGGATGGGATGGGAGCACCTTCTCACTCTTAGCATCCCTCTCCTCCCCAAATGGAACTGGAGCACCCCATAGTGTTTTGAAAGATCCCATAGCAACCTCAGAGCTGCTCTCCTTCCCCAGAACCTCAGCTCTGCCTTTCAAGGCTTGGATTTCTGGAGGCAAAATCTGCCCCTTCTGTGCCCCTGGGGTGTGTGGGGTGATGTGCAGCCCTTCCCTGGCAGCCCCTGCCGTGGCCAGCAGAGCTTTGGGCAAACCCCAGGGACACAGAGCCCACTCACACCTGGCTGGAGCCCCCAGGGCTCCTCACTCAGACCCTTGCAGGGCAGATAAATGAGCTGCTCCTAATTGAGTTTGTATTTGCTGCCTCATCCTGACTCCCTCCTTCCCTCCCTCCAGAAATGAAACGTGTCCAGCCCATCTGAAAAACAGGGAGTAAGAAATGCTCTTTAGTTAAAAGAGTATTAAAAATAACTTTGATATATATTAATTACAATTTCATTTAATAGCTTATTGAACGTTATAGCATTTATAAATAAAAGACAATCATAAAGCATTATTCTGACTGTTAATTAGCTCTATTTATTCTCCAGATTAGTTTTTAAATATGCCCTCTAGATGCCACTTGATACTAATTAACAGAGTTACATTATTATCTCTACAGAAAGGCATTTTTAATTAAATCTAAAGCAATTTAAATTAGCATGAGTTTTTACAGAAATTAAACTCTGGTCAGATGCTTAATTTAGCCTTATAAGACAACATCTGATGACATGCCAGTGTCAGTTCTCCCAGGGGCCTTGACATCTTTTTTATTTGAGATTATTTTTTGAAGTTTGTTTTCAGGGAAACTTGCCACTATGCTCTGGTGTTTAATATTTATGATGGATTTAACCAGGTTTTTTTGAAGACTAAATGTTGATGGGAATCCACATGCATTGCAGTGAGCTGAGATAATGCCACAAAAGCCACACTTCTGCAGCTTACAGGAGTCTGGCAGTGCCTGGGTTTGTGTGGGAGGTGGGATTGCATGGGCTGGATGTTGTCCCCTTACAAATCTACCAAGCTTTTTCACCACTGTTAAAATTACTGTTTTGCTTTCCAGCAAGGATAGGATTAATCACAACCCCACAGGGCCCCTTCTCTACAACAGAACAATACAGGGATTGCTCCCACCCCCCAGAAAATGTCTCTCACACATTTGGATTAGCATGGCAGAAGCTTTTCTTCTAATGGAGCCGAATGATAAAGATTTGGCTAAAGCCTTCTCCTGTGGCAAACCCTGACTAAAATAGCTGAATTTAGAGTGGGGTAGGATGCTTTTCATCTCCCAGAAGACAGACTGCAGGAGCAGTGTGAGCCACCCCAGCACCATGGCTGGTTTAAAAGCACCTTTGATCTCACCAATCTTTCCTTGCTCTCCTGTCAAATAATTAGCCAGTAGCTCCATTTCTACCTTGTAGCTTCTTTTCCACTGTAGCCAGCACCCTTTGGGCACTGAACCATGTGGAGCATGTCAGTGCTGATCACAGGTTAGACTTTTAGGACTGTTAGTTTGGGAACATTTTTTTGTTCAAGTTTCTCTCCAGCTGCCTGGGAATGCACCTGGAAAGAGGAATCAGCTGTTGAAAGGTTATTGCTAGTTTATTAATAAGTTTGGAGTAATTAAATCCAAGGCACATTTCCAGCATTTTATTTATGAGCTGTTTATTAAGGAATTGAGAGGATTTAGTACAGGAACACCAACAATAAAAGCAGTGTGGTCCAGGAGTGTGTGGCTATTTACAAGAGCAAGCAGTGATGGAGGAAGAGGAATGGCTTTAAACTGAAAGAAGTTAGATTTAGATTAGATATCATTAAAAATGAGGTACTGTGAGGGTGGTGAGGCACAGGAATGGGTTGCCCAGAGAAGCTGTGGGTTGGATGGAGCTCAGAGCAACCTGGTCTAGTGGAAGATGTCCCTGCCTGTGGCAAGGGAGTGAAACAAAATGACCTTTAATGTCCATTCCAGGGCAAATCATTCTGTCATTCTGTGACTGGAGAGAGCTCTTTTATATGACAATATTGGGGCTGCTGTTGGGGGCCTGCTCTGCATTTGTGGAACACAAGGTGCTGTGGAACACAAGGTGCTGTGTCCTGTTCCTC